TTATCCCATATAAGGGTTTATTAGCCAATTTGAGCAAATTTATTTGAGGCACCACGTTTGAGTATGTAATTTAATTCCAGGATTCGGCGACCACCATATCATTTTGAGAGAATTGTTGCATTTGGTTGGAGATTGTGTTCTTTTTAAGACTATCACTGGAGCCAAGTTCAGATTGATTCATATTATAAACACCACATTGTTGCATCCACTTGGTATTTTAACTAGTAGCAAAAACAGTTTTCTTAACAACATTGGTCCTGTCCTGCATCTTATATGTCTGGGGAAATTTATATCACAGAAATGGTTGTACCATGAAATTTTCAATATCGCCACATTAAGTCACTAAAACCTACCAACTTGGTGTTATGGGGCGCTAAGTCATATCGATTCATCTATCCAAGCTCGTCTCATGAATTGATATTAAGCAATTAAGCTTGTAAATTTCATGGTTTTTATGAAATAGGTGAACTTGGCAAAAAGAAAGAAACTCTTTACAAATCTATAGTCCAACAAAGTAACAGATACTGCTGAGCTCCTCTTTAGACAACAGCCTCCACGGTTTTGTATTCACTATGACTCTTCTTAATTTTCAACCTATTCAATTCAGTAAAATACAAATTGAATTTCCAGAACCATCGCATTCCCCACTCTCTATTGCCAGAAAAGGAGCAAAACTTTCACGGTCCTCGGTACCTGCGGAAACAGAAACAGCCCTGAGGCTGATCCCCAGGGATCATACCTCCACCTTTAGATGTGTCAATAGCCTCCAACATGGCCACCACCTCATCCATCTCCGGCCGCTTGTCAGGGTTTGCATCCCAACATCGCTTCATTACATTTGCAAGAGAGCTTGGGCAACAACGAGGCATCTCAGGCCTCAGATTCTGTAGTTTCATATAAGTTTGATTTCTCTTTTAGCTAACTTTGACAATGAATGATATCCAATTATATTCATAGCAGTTATGTGTAGATGATTATTTCTCTAAGGCCAAGTTTTTATGCAATCATGTATCTCATGGATAATAAGATATCTTAAGGATTTTATCTACCTGGCGGACAACGGCTGATGTCACTTCCGAGAAGCTAAGATCC